TTCCTTTTAATGCCCCGTGTGATCAGTAGTAATGTTCCTTTTCCATGTCTGATATTAGTCATTTGTCTTCTCTCTCTCCTTTTTTAAAGTTAACCTAGCAAGAGGCTTAACAGTTTTATTGATATTTTCAAAGAACTTGCTTTTTTAAAAGTAGTATTTTATAATACAACAAAGTATTTTCAGTTCTTTGTTCCAGACCCTTGTAACATCACTGCCATATATCTCACTGATCCATAAGGTATTACTGTAACTAACATATTGTTGCTATTATTATTTTTAGAAAAAAATGTTATGTTAGATTACTTAAGGATACGAAAACAAGATTTTGTTTTATCTTCACATATTCCTTCTCTAATGCCCTTTATATAGATACAAATGTCTGACCTATTTCATTTCCTTCCTTTCTGAAGAACTGCTTTTAACATTTTTTTCCGAGGCAAATCTACTAGTGACACATTCCCTCAATTTCTGTCTAAGAAATTCTTTTCCCACCTTGGAAGGAAAATTTTACCTCACACTCTTCTTACTCTCATGGTTTCTGAAGAGAAGGCTGATGTGATTCTTATTCTTGCGCCTCTATAGGTAAGGTGATTTTTTTTTTTCCTCCAAAGCCCTAGATTTTTTTTCCTTTGTCTTTGATTTTCTGCTTTACTTTGATATATTTGGGAGAGGGGAATTTATACCACCTGGTGTTCTTTGATTTTTTTTGGATCTGTGGTTTGGTGTCTGTATTTAGTTTGGATTCGTTGGAAAGTTTTCAGCCATTGTTACTTTAAATATTTCTTTTGTTCCTTTTTCTTTCTTCTCTCTCTGGTATTCCCATTATGTGTACATTACACTTTTGTAATTGTCTTGCAATTGTTGGATGATCTCTTCTGTATTTTTCATTCTTGTTCTCTTTGCATTTTAGTTCTGGAAGTTTCTACTGACATTTCTTCAAGCTCCCTGATTCTTCCCTCAGTTGTGTCCAGTCTACTGATGTGCCTGTCAAAGGCCTTCTTCATTTTCATTGCAGTGTGTTTGATTTCTAGCATTTTCTCTTGATTCTTTCTTAAGTTTCCATCTTTCTGTGTACATTCCATATCTGTGCTTGAATGTTGTCTACTCTTCCCCTCTGGAGCACTTAGCTTATTCATTATAGTTGTTTTAAATTGACAGTCTGAAATTCCAGCATCTCTGCCACATCTGAGTCTGGTTCTGGCGTTTACTGTCTCTTCAAACTGTGTGTTTTTTTGTCTTTTAATGTGCCTTGGATTTTTTTGTTAAAACCTAGACATGATGTACTCATTACGTAAAAGGAATTGAGGTAAATAGGTTTTTAGTGGGAAATGTTATGTTTTTCTAGGGATTAGGCTGTGTTACTGCAGTAGCTGTGGTGTCAAAAGCTAAGCTTTTGTCTAGTGTCTCATTTTTGTCTCCTCTCTTGTCTTTAAGTTTCCCTAGAGACTTCTTAAATTCGATCTGAATGGTGCAATTCTTTCAGTTGTATTTCCTGTTGTTACAGGAGCATTACTGATGGTGTGGTAGAGAGTGGAGAGAGGGGTTGCGTTCTGTAGCTCGGTGATCAGATCTCAGTCCCTGGGCTGTGGCCTTCACAAGTGCTTCTCAGTTCTTCCCTCCCTCCTTGGGTGAAACGTAACACTAGAGGAGCCTTGGGTTGGTGTTTCCCTTCCCACAGGCTGGTTAGGCTTTGGTAAAGTAGTTTCTTTTGAGGATCTTATTAAGAAAAATGGAATGCTTTGGTGGAAATCAAAATGGTTATTTTTCCCTTCTTGATGGAAACATGAGAGAATTTTTATTGATCTTAACAATGAGAACTTGTTGTAGGACTTCTGAAGGTGAAACTCATAGAAGGGTGGGATTCCCTGGAATACTGGGCACCCCTGAAGCTTTTAACTCTCAAACCTGCCGCCTCCCAGCCTTCAGCAATTTGCCACTTACAGTTTAAACTTTCTTGCCTTGGTAGTAGTTTCTGTGGGAGGTTTCTGCTCTGGTAAGTTGTGATTCTCTGTGTCTGCCTGCCTGTCTTTCCAGTTTTTGGAGCAGCAGTTTGCTCTGTGTCCTCGATTCTCTGCTGAATCTAACAAGATTCTTGATTTTCAGTTTGTTCAGCTTCCTGCTTGTTAGGGTGGAGTGGTGACTTTCAGGTTCTTCATGTGCAGGAGTGGAAATCTCAAGCCTGCACTACTTCCTTTTATCATTTCTTTTCTTCCCTCTTTCCATGGCTCTCTTTTCTTTCAGCTCTTCAGTTGCTCTGAACTGTCCTCTGTCTTCCTTCCCACCACCCGGCTCTGGAAGTTCAGGGGTCTGCCATTTACCCTCTTCTCGGCCTACGTTGCTCTCCCCTAATGGCATATCTCCCTCTCCGGCTCTAACACCTGGTCAGCGAAGTCTCCTTGGTCTCGTCAGCTTTGGTGTCCTGAGTGTCCAGCATATCAGGGTATCTTCAGAGTCGGTGTCTCCAAAACAGAGTTTATTTTTTATTAGCCCTCCATCCTCCCATCGTTCACCTTACCCTCCTCTCTTCTTTCACAAACACACCAGATTCCCCTCTTCCTTTTTTTGTGTTCATTGTGCTGATACAGTGACTACCATCCACTTACTTGTCCAAGCCAGAAACCTGAGTGTTACTCTAGACTGTTCCGTCTTTCTCATCACCCTCCACATCGAATCACTCACACGGTCCTGACATGTTTACATCTCAAAGGAAAAGCACGGTCATCTCTGACCCCACTGCCCTCTGTCAGTTTCCCCTCTGAAGCCCGGAAGTCTGTCCTGTCAGCCCTCCCTGCCTCCTGCAACCCACCCTCCATGCTGTCCACTCTGCAGTGTTCCGGAAAACATAGCTGCTCCTCTGTGGCCTACAGAAGCTGTCTCCCACATGGCATCTGTAAGCAATTCATTGAGAGTATAGTCATAAAAATAATAGAAATTCTGTGTATATTTATTTTTCTTTATCTCAACTTATACAAATGTTTTCTTTTTGCAATGTAATAAAATGCCACATGCACATACTTTATAAATGTACTTGTAGAAGGTTGAATACTCAAAAGTTATTTTACTGTACATTGGTGAGGAAGCTTAGAGGCCACGGCCTATGGCATATGGTTCTAGTTCCTCAGCTGGTAGACCAGGCCCTCTGTTTTCTGACCCCGCCTGCCTTTTCCAGACTCCAGTCCCATTCTTTCTCCATGTATCCCTGCTTTGGGAACTGCTTCATCTTTAACCACATCCTTTCTAGAAGTTACCAGGCTAATTTATGTCATCGTACATTAGTTACGCTGTTGCTTCTGCCTAGAATTCCTATTACGATTCCCATTTTCCATTCCTCATCCCAGCCCTGCCTTGCAAAGTCTGATTCCTTTTTCTTTTCTTTCTATTTTTTGTTTGTTTGTTTTGAGACGGAGTCTCGCTCTATCACCCAGGCTGGAGTACATTCTCAGCTCACTGCAACCTCTGCCTCCTGGGTTCAAGCAATTCTCATGCCTCAGCCTACCGAGTAGCTGGGATTGTAGGCACCTGTCACCATACCTGGCTAATTTTTGTATTTTTAGTAGAGATGGGGTGTCACCATGTTGGCCAGGCTGTTCTTGAACTCCTGACCTCTTGATCCACCTGCCTCGGCCTCCCAAAATGCTGGGATTACAGGCGTGAGCCACAGAGCCCTACAGATTGTATTTTAATTCCTTCCTGAGACGCACTCCCTGGTGCTACTCTGCATTCTGCAAGTACAGTAATCACGCTCTCCTTTGCTCTCTCATTGTGCAGTGTTCATTCATTCATCCTTCGGCACTGCCTATTGAGTGCCGCCTGTGTGCCCGCTGCCCCAAGCCTGGGACACAGTGTAGTTAGTTCACATCTCTGCCTCCTTCAGTGCCAGCTGCTTAGACACAAAAGCTCTTCATTCCTCTCCTCCAGCATGCTGCAGGTTTGCTGAGAGTATGCTTGAGTGAACAAACCAGCGGGGGAGGGCACCGGATCGTGAACGTCTCTTCCAACACTAAGATTTCTGTTAAACGAAAAATCAGTCAGAAATTAAGGTGTAAATTTGTGGATGTCCACAGCCAAAATTTCATTTGTTGTGCAATTTATGTTCGCTTACTAAACTCATTCATTTAGTGGTAAATATAAGTTTGTATATATTTTATATATAAATTTGTAAGAACTCTATTTTGTGGAATGAAGTGTTGTGGAATTCTAGAATCACATAGTCAATTGAAAAAAATGTATATTTTGGTAATCCCAAAAGGTAGAAGTTAATGAGCACCTACAATATTCTAGAGCCATTATTTTTGGCTATGGTTATACATTTTGGCTTGACTTTTAATGGCTCAAATCTAACATTCAAATCACATATTTTGGGTTTGCTTTGATTTATGTTGGAATATGTAGAACATAAAAAATTATTTTTGGGTGAAGAACAATTTGCCTTAGCAGTTATGTTGTCCTTAATTTAAGATATGTAACTATAAAACAGATAAGTTAAGATCTGATTATTTATATTCCAGGCATTTTTTTCATAAATGAATATTTTACTGGATGAGCACTTTAAATTCACTTACTATGCCTCATGATTTGTATTCATTTAATATTTATATGATATATGTCACAAGTCTCTAGAATATAACTCATCAGATGAGAGTTACCATTATAACTGAAACATTGTATTTTGCATATAAATGTGATAAGGAATGTATACAGTGAGCAGTTGAGACAGTGATTAATTGGGTTAGTGAAAGAGTGAATAATGTGGAAGGGACAAAGATTAGGGAATGATATATCTGCCTTAGTTACTGACTTACTGCTAACACTCGTAATAATCAGTCTGTTGTTCTGAAGAAAACTGTGTCTGAAAACCCCTCAAATGATAAAAAGACACTTTTATGTTTGAATCCTTCTTTAGCTCCAGTGATCTTAAGTGTTAAATGAAAAGTTAATTGAATTTACCTTCAGAAATTGAAATAAACAAAGATGCTGTTGACCTCTCTTCCTTCTCATAGGTATAATATTGAGCCCAGCCTATACTGCCCATTTTTCTCTCTTGGAGCATGCATGGAAGGCCTGAATATTTTGCTTACCAGACTGTTGGGGATTTCGTTATATGCAGAGCAGCCTGCAAAAGGAGAGGTGTGGAGTGAAGATGTCCGGAAACTGGTGAGCTCCCGCTCAGCCTGCAGCTGCATGCGTTAGCCTTTCAATTTGGGAGTTGAATCAACAGCAGTTTCATCTTTACGTTAACTTTGCCCTGATTGTGTCCCCTGCCTTATTTCTGCTTCACAAAAAAATCTAAATTGCACTTCTGATTTAGGACACTGTATAAAGTATCTAAACATAAAATAGCAGAGTTATCTTAAAAAAGTTTTCTAGGGTGGGATATGCTGGCTCACGCCTGTAATCCCAGCACTTTGGGAGGCTAAGGCGGGCAGATCACGAGGTTAACAGATTGAGACTATCCTGGCCAATATGGTGAAACCCCGTCCCTCCTAAAAATACAAAAATTAGCTGAGCGTAGTGGCACACATCTGTAGTCCCAGCTACTTGGGAAGCCGAGGAAGAAGAATCACTTGAACCCAGGAGGTGGAGGTTGCAGTGAGCCAGGATTGTGCCTGGCAACAGAGCAAGACACTGTCTAAAAAAAAAGAAAAAAAGACAAAGTTTTTTAGGAACCTGATAGAAGGTTGAATATATAAGCACCTTCATATATTCACAAATGGTAGTTATGGAAAAATTATTCATTACTTTGTATGTACCTCAGTGCTGTTTGTTCCGTTTGGTTAATTCTCAGATCCATTACATGAGAGACCTTTTTTCTTTCCAACCCCCATCCCATGTTGTAGGGGTTTATGTTTGCATCAGATATTAATTTATGTCCTATGTTCTGATTTATTTAACTTCTTTGATAGTCACTTCAAGCCTAGCAATCATCCTTCTCCTGTGAGGGCCTGCTGTATTTGAGGCATGAATATTTAACATTTTTCCTTATAGGATTTGAGGCTTTGTTGACCTGTGTGTTAGTCACTAAGGTGTGGTATTGTTTTGTTGTTTGATTTTTGCTAGCGTGCTTACCACACTGTGCTTTCTTCACTATATTTTACGAAATACGAACAATCTCCTTGTCTCTCGGCCATGTCTCGTGAGTGTAGAGTAGGTATGGCGGTGGGATTGAAAGGAGAGTCAGGGTGGGAAGACGTTCATCACTGCATTGATTTACTTCGATATCTGTTTGTATTATAAACTTCCAAAAAAGATAGAGGTTGATAAAATGCAGAGATATAATAAAAAGAAAAACTTGTAAGAGGAAACTGAGAGGACAAAATGCAGGTGATTAAGAGGTTTCCCCAGAACTGCAGAGTCTGCACTCCACTGAGGTCCAGCACTGTTCACCTCTGTATCCCAAGTGTCTTGAAGAGTTCCTGGCACCAAGTAGGTGCTTAATAGATATTTGATGAACAATGAATATATACTTGCAAGTAATTTTAAAGCACAAAATTGAGGTTCTCTTTGATGGAATCCCTAAATTCTGAAAGGACAAAGAAGGCAAGATGGAGAGTAGCAGTTGAGTCTCCTATAAGCTATGCCTCTCGGAGAGGGGACAGTTATATTGATGACTTTGAACTCAAGCTGGGAGCTCCATTGTGGCGTTTTCAAATTCAAGGTTGTAATTTGCTTGGGCATGTATCATGACATTCTAGGATTTGAAGGAAAAAATAATTTTGCTGCTTAAATTATCCAGCCAGCACTTCTTCCCAACTCTTGTGGGTGGTTGGTAAAGGTATTGGAGAGGATAGGCATTCAGGACAAAATGCCCTTATGAGGAGGATTTTCTCTCCTGGACACAGAATTCTCAAACCAAAATCATTCGAGAGATGGAGCAGAAGAGGATGGGGGGAAAAGAGAGTCTACCTTGGGATAATGTGGGATATAGAATGTAATTAAAATTTACATTAATTATGTCTATATGTGTGGCTATAGATGCTTAATACACGGATTCTTGTGTTAGGGACATGGTCCTACTTGTAGAGTATTGGATGGCCTCATTTACCACTAAATTTAATTTTTTTTTCTAGGCTGTTGTTCATGAATCTGAAGGATTGTTGGGCTACATTTACTGTGATTTTTTTCAGCGAGCAGACAAACCACATCAGGTGATTCTTTCTTTACAAACTGGTCTCTCTAGAACTCATCAGCAGTTCATATGTATTAACATGAACTTTGTATTATTTTTTAAATTCCATGATATTTAAAAGTTATTAATGATAGGCCGGGCGCGGTGGCTCAAGCCAGTAATCCCAGCACTTTGGGAGGCCGAGGCGGATGGATCACAAGGTCAACAGATCGAGACCATCCTGGTCAACATGGTGAAACCCCGTCTCTACTAAAAATACAAAAAATTAGCTGGGCATGGTGGCGCGTGCCTGTAATCCCAGCTACTCGGGAAGCTGAGGCAGGAGAATTGCCTGAACCCAGGAGGTGGAGGTTGCAGTGAGCTGAGATCGCACCATTGCACTCCAGCCTGGGTAACAAGAGCGAAACTCCGTCACACACACACACAAAAAAGTTATTAATGATGGTTACCAAATATATACATTTGATATTAAGATAGAGTTTTTAAATTAAAAAGTTTATGGAAATAATGACGTCAGTCTGCGTTTGTCTCTTTTACCTGGGTCATGGTATTAATTACAGTAATAATAAATGGCAGCTGATGTTTAATGAATCCTTATTTTTGCCAACCAGTGCACTAAGTCCTTTATACACATCAACCTTTTAGTGTCCACCTCAACCTTTTGACTCGGTTCTCACATTATGAGGAAACTGAGGCCAGAGAGGTTAAGTTACTTGGCCAGAAGTGCTAGGATTTGAAGGCATACATTCTGAGTAGATTCCCAACTTTTAGCTCTTTTCCATACTTGACAGGTCTAAAACTGAAATAGATATTCCATGTGGAAACCTTACCAACCACCAAGTAGCTCCTTATGTGGAAGATTTGAGGCAGCTCATCTCCTTTCCTTTAGCTGTGGGCCAACTTTGACAGCCAGTCAGCTTTAGCAGTTTCATGCAGCTTGATGGGAAATGTCAAGAGTTTAGGTTAGAAGTTATAACAGAAATAATGTACCTTGTATTTGAATAGTGATTCACACTTTCCAAAGCACAGATTTTAACAGATGTGAGCTTATGAAATCTGGACAGCCACTGTGGGATTTGACAAGGAAGCATTCTAGAGATGAGGCTTGCAGAGGCAAATCATTTTCCAAGATGATTTGGCTAGTAGGTGTGAAAGGTTACAACAGGGTGCAGGTCACCAGACTCTGAGGCGAGTGTCCTTCTTCTTTGCTTAAATGGGTGGGTGGTGGAGACTCACCTTTAGTGATTAGGAGCCCTGGCTCCTGATAGTCAGCCTGGGTTCGGAGCCAAGGTGCGGCAATTCTAGCTAGGTGTCCTTGGATGTGTTAATATTTCTGAGACTAGTTTTAGTTTTCTCACCTGAAAAGTGAGAAACCTGCTGCATAGGGTTGTTGCAAAGGATAAGAATAAGGTGTATATATGTACATAAATAAACAATAAGAATAGAATTAAAGTTTGTTCTCACACATTTTGGTGAAATTTTATATTCACTGAAACTGTTTTACTCTTTAGATTGCCGAGTACTGTCTTCCTCTTTTATGTTTTCTGATTCTTAAAGGATTGCCATTTCACAATCCGTGGAGGCAGATTAAAGGAAGATGGAGACTATCAACTCCCAGTTGTAGTCCTTATGCTAAATCTTCCCCGTTCCTCAAAGAGTTCTCCAACTTTGCTAACTCCTGGCATGATGGAAAATCTTTTCCATGAAATGGGACATGCCATGCATTCGATGCTGGGGCGAACTCGTTACCAACACGTCACTGGTGAGCCATGAAGAGGGCTTTTGTTTACTACAATCCTATACAAACATATATTTTCTTTTATACTGGGAAAGGGGCTTTTCATTTGGAAAATGTGGCCATTTCACCATGTCCTGTGGTCTTTATCTCAGATTGCCTCGTCCTGCCCTCCCCATGGTTGTGCAGCCTGATCCTCCTGTGCTTTTCTTATCCTTGCTAACAGCTTTCACCAGGGAATAATCTCACCCATCTGTCTTTCAAGTTTGTTCCTTTTTACATTTGACAGTGTTTTATATTGAATTTAAGTTTGTGGCTATGTGTGTGTCAATAAAAAGGTATCTCCTTAATACCTACCACAGAGTTAATAAGTAAGTGAATGAATGGTGTCTCCTTAAATCCAAAATCAGAAAACAAAATAAAGCTTGATTAAAAAGTAAGATGAAGTCCTATTAATTTTTCATATACTTTCCCCACGTGAAATTCTAGTTCTGCTTTGCAGTTTTTAATGCTGTTATGTGGCCATATTTTATGATATTACAGACTTTTCCTCTTCGCTGTCTTATCCTAAGTCTTAAGCTCACTGTCACATATGGTCAGCGTTAGACCACTAGTAAATTGTTGGCATCCAGCATTTATTAACTAACTTTACACACAGTATTTTGGACAAGGAGAAGGTACAGAAAAGACTTTAGGTGGGCTGAACAGAATCATTAAATGTCATTAAAATTTCTTACAGGATTTGTTGCTTTAAGTAATTTTGAGTTTAAAATATTATTTTTCCTCACTGAGAATTGACTTTGTTACAAAAAGCAATAAATGGATAATATAAAGTACTTGTAAAACAAAGGAAGGATAAAAGCATTAGGTAATGGAATTTAGTGAACTAAATACAAATGCTATATTAATATTAGAAATGTTTTAATTTGTGTTGCATGTATAGCCAGCATAGCTGAAGACAGGTTTGTTTGTAAAAGGTGTGAGCTATTACTTTATAAGGTGTTTTAGCAGCTGTGCAAATATTTTGTTTTACTTTTGATATAAAGGAAAATATATAGGATTATAATAAACTTTTCTGCAAATATGTACAATAATTTTATAGAAGCAAAATATTGATTTAATGAATTAAAGCTTATCGTAGTTCATCAGAAGTACAAATAAAATTTTAAAGGGTACATAAAAAGTAAGATAAATATATTGATTTGATTCATGCCAACTTTTTTTTTTCCTTGTTTCAGGGACCAGGTGCCCTACTGATTTTGCTGAGGTTCCTTCTATTCTGATGGAGTACTTTGCAAATGATTATCGAGTAGTTAACCAGTTTGCCAGACATTATCAGACTGGGCAGGTAGGAACAGTGATATTGTCATATTGTCCTTTGGGCGACATCCTGGATAAGCCGAACTCTTCTTACTTCTTCAGAACTCACCCTGTTAGTAACAAACGTTTTATTGTTTCTTTTTTTCCTGATTCCCTATCTTTTCTGTTTCCAAACTATGGAATCATAGTCCTAGCATATAGTCGTGTGTTGAAAAATAGCGATCCTTTATTATAAGCCTGGTAATCTACCATTTAGTCCTCGTAACCATCCCATAAGGAAAGCACTTTATCCCCATTTTCCAGATGAAGAAACAAGCTTTGTGTTAGAATAAGCATTCAAGCCTGTCTCACTTCTAAAAAACCTTTCTTCTGAATACTTATTCTGTTGGTCTGAATTTTTATGTTGTCTCATAAAACTGAACTGAGTGCCTTATTTTGCCAGTATGCTTAGCATCTCTGTGATGCTTGATCTGAAAATTCCTTAATTTTAAGGCTTAGATTTTAATGATGCATTGTAATATTAAAGATTTTCGAATTAAATGTGAGATACCTTACACTGTTAGCTGTAAGTTGTCAGCATTGTGCTGTTTACTGTCCACATGTATGTTGGAAGATGTGTTCTTTCCTCTCCCTCAGAATTCTGATTATATTAGAACTGTATTATGTGAAGTGATGTTTTTCCCCCTCAGACTGTATGTATTCCCTGGTACAAATGTAAATTGAATTCATCTTTGAATCCTTAGTACCTAGAATCTTGTTTCATACACACACAAAAAAAGCACTAAAAGAAATTAAATGAGGGGGTGAATAGAATTAGAAACAGAAGGACCATAACCACCTTTATTTGTGACTCTTGGTCTGATTACGTCTCCAGATGTGTAATATTATTTGGTGATTTTTTTAAACCTTGATTTTATCTGTTATTGTCAACTATAGAATAATCAGTGATCTTCTGGCAGGGCATGGTGGCTCATGCCTGTAATCCCAGCATTTTGGGAGGCTGAGGCAGGTGGATCGATTGAGCTTGTTCGAGACCAGCCTGGGCAACGTGGCAAAACCCTGTCTCTACTAAAAATACAAAAGCTAGCTGGGCATAATGGTGCATGCCTGTAGTCCCAGCTACTCAGGAGGCTGATACAGGAGAATCGCTGGAACCTAGAACCTGGGAGGCAGAGATTGCAGTGAGCTAAGATTGTGCCAGGGCACTCCAGCCTAGGCAATAGAATGAGACTCTGTTTCCAAAAAAAAAAAAGAATGAATGATATTCTGGATAACTAATCTGAGTAACTCTTCAGCATAATCTATTTCAGTTATTAAGGTTGGAAATTTGTGATCCAATTAACTACCCATCCATTAACTTACAAAGAACTGTTTGGGAATTATGTAGACTCCGCCAATAACAGACTGGCATACCCTACCATGTGATAGCATAATCCATCTAGGGCCACGTATTTTGGGAGCTGGGAATGATTAGAAGTTAATTGATTGCTCCCTGCCTGAGGTGCCTTGGAGCAGAGCCAAGTGCACAGGCAGGGCCACGAGGAAATGGCCACGAGGAGGAGAAGTGCAGGAGGAAGGTGGTAAGGGAAAAAAGACAGAAGGGGCATTCGCCAGTCAGCTCTCAGCAGTACTCATCTCTTCCACTAAAAAATATTTATTGAGGACATACTGAGGACAGAGAGACGCTTCGGTCAGAGAACACTGAGTTTTAACAGTCTCCGTTCTCTCCGTTCTCGGCCTCCGAGAAACAGCCAAGAATAAGGCAACATCCTATTCCCCGCGGCCTTTAATTCCTAGGGAAACCGAGGAGATGGAGCTGACTTGGGCGTTGCCGCCCGAAGGCCAAGACGCGAGAGGCGTGGAGCAACCTCTAGACGGCTGGGGAGCCTGGCCAGGAGCTGGGGGCCATGGGCTGAGGAGGAGGTGGACAGGGAAAGATGGATTGGGTCTGCTGCTAGGTGCTGCGGAGCGCAGATGGGCGTTTGAATCCTGATGGAGGGGAAACCCAGTAAAGGCTTTCAGGCGGGAATCAAAGTTTTACTTCCAGAAAATCACCCTGGTGTCAGGGAGGAAGCAGATTGCAGGGGGTGAGGGTAGAGCCTAAGAGGCTTCCTGGAGATCGGCGGCTCCGGCTGCCGGGGCTCAGCCGATCTGCCCTAATTCCGGCTGCACAGCCTCTCTAACTACCCTTGCTGGGCGGCCTCAGCCCTGGCGCCCCAGCCCCACGCAGACAAGTACGTGGCTGTTGAGGGGTTGGGGTGGGAGGCAAGGGGCCGTCACATTTCCGAGGGTTCCACCAAGGTCAGGCTGAGGGAGGCGCCGCTTGGTGTGGGAGACGTGGGGAGCGCTAGTACCCCTACGAGGGGTTTCTGCGAGCCCCAGGAGTCCGAGGTTTCGGAGGGCGCTGCTGCCAGAGTGAGTGTGTGTGGTGCAGGGCTGGCACAGGAGGGCGTGGGAGCACACACGCGAGGTGACTGCACAAGAGGACTGGGCCTTGCACAATAGTCTTTTTTTTTTTTTTTTTTTAAGTTAAATCTGGAGTGGAAATTCAACACAAATACAGTTGTTTTTTTTTTTTGTTTTTTTGTTTTTTTAATTTCCATCTACTTACAGAGCAAACAGAGGAGCAAAGACCGGCTGGAGCCACTGGTCCAAGTGTGATAAAACGTCCCAAAGGAAAGCGCTTCCCAGTGCCTGTATTCTTACTAAATTCTTGTGTAAGAGGGTGCATTGTTGAACTAGATGCAAGAAAACCAGAGTAAGCCCAAGCCTAATCCGAGATAGATGAGATAGGAAGAATAGTTCAAAACTAAGCTGCTTTGAATTAATTCAAGTTTCAGACACAGAGGACTCGTCCAGTGCCCTTAAGGGACTAACAGACATAGTCTCTAAAGAATCTAAAATAATTTTGTGATTCCATGGAGAATGGAAACGTGCCCAAAGGCAAGAGACATGTAAATGCTTTGAGCTTCACAAGGGCTTGCCTCTTCTTGTCACTAATTAAGGCACCAAGGAGGTTTCTTTTCTGTTTTTTCAATTTTAAGGACAGTCCTAGCCTTAAGGATAAGAAGTTAATTCCCTAAAATCCAAGTCTTTGTAAATAAATGACATTCAAGCCCATAAGGAAAAAATAACAGGGCTACATGTTGATGCTTAATTTCCTATCCTGCTGCATTTCAGGAAATGATTTAACATTATGAAATATATTCCAGAGAGCTCTCAGATAGAGGATAATCAGTGACTTACTAACACCTAGAAGTATTTTATCAGAACTGTCTCACAGCATAGCCAATGAATTCCTTGTAGAGGAAGAATTAGAAGTATGCTTATCAGATTAGCAGGTGCCATGCAGCTGTCAGAGGTAACAAACACCAGAGGTGCACATTCAAGATTCAGAATGTCTTGGCAAGCTACAACATCAAAGCGAAAGTAGAATTTATTGTAAATTAATCTTAAAATCAATACCACAGTGTGGAAGGAGTACTGCAGTCAGATGTTTGGACATAATAAACTTAACGCGGATCAATAGTCTAATGCAGTTTTCCCATAAATCTTCAAATTTAGGCTGCATTAGTGGAGCTGTGGTGCCTAAGGTCATTGTCTCTTCTCAGTGCTTGTTGGTTTTGACCTTCAGCGTTTCTTCGCTGTTGCTTCAAATTAGCACAGAATTGTGTATAGGTGGCCTCATTCTTCTGGAAGTGTGATTCTTGTCCATGCTAAACCTTTCTAAGGTGCGATTTTTTTAAATGTTTTGATTTTTGTGAAAGTGGGATCCCCTTGTTAGTTACTTATTTATATTTGATAGCTATAGTCCATTCTCTGTTCCTTATAACAGAATACCTGAAAATGGGTAATTTATAAATCTATTTTTTTACAGTTTTGAAGGCTGAAAAGTCCAAGGTCAAGGGGCCGAATCTGATGGGCACCTTCCTACTTGCTGGGACTCTGCAGAATCCCGCAGTGGCTCAGAGCCTCATATGGCGAGGGGGCTGAGTGTGCTCACATGCTACTTCAGGTTTCTCTTCCTCTTCTTATAAAGCCACGAGTCCCACTCCTGTGATAATCCCTTAATCCATTATGATCAGTGGATGAATTAATCCATTCATGAGGGCTATGCCCTCATGACCCAGTCATCTCTCAGTACTGCCCCACTGGGGCTTAAATTTCAACATGCGTTTTAGAGGGGACAGATATTTAAGCTATAGCAGTGGCACAGTGTGCTCTCTCCCCAAATCTGTCATAAAATCACAGGGGCTCTTTACAATTATTGGGTTCTTAGATTCAAGAAAAGAGGATAGTCTACGCCCCTATACCCAACACTGAAAGTGTTAACCACCTCCACTGTGCAGTCTGCTACCTGCCCCTTGACCTCTGCTGTGGTTAGAATATGGTGTGCTCCATTAAAATTTATGTTAAGACTTGGTACCCAATGTAGTGGTATTGGTAGGTGGTGCATTTGAGATGTGATTGGCTCCTTCAGATGGGTAATGTCTCTCTCTGGAGCTGGATTATTTCTCTCTGGAATGGATTTGTTCTCATGGGAACAGATTAGCAGGTTGTTTTGAAGCGAGACTGCCTCTTGTATTTTGCCCTTTACATATGCACCGGGTTCCCTTTCCATTTCTCTGCCATGCTTTGATGCAGCACAAGGCTTTCACCAGAAGCTGCCAGATATGCCCAGTCTTGACGTTCCTAGCCCACAGAGTCACAAGCTACACAAGCTTCTGTTCTTTATAATTTACCCAGTCTCAGATATTCTGTTACAGCAACACAAAACGGACTTAGGTAATTCCCATCCCTACATGCCTCTGTGGGGAAGCTAGGCTGTCCCCAGTGCCCAGATCATTTGGGTACCCAGAGTTTTCATCTTCTTTCTTTGACTGTCCCCAGATCCTAATTCCTAATGAGGGCAGCATCTATTTTTCTGTGCCCTAGATTTGCAGTTTCTTCACATCAGGTTTTAGGTAAATTTCTGAAAATGAGCGAAAGTCCAATACTTACCTTTCCTTTGCATTTCTAAGGTTCTCT